TTTGTTGTACTCTGAGGGACTGAGTGATCACTATGCACCTACACACTGTAGCTCGATGAGTTTCAGACCCATCTACCTCCCTTTTCCTCTATAAGCCTAGCTCGAGGTTGAGGAGGGGCAGTTTCCCAACTTTTATGATACACCCATTCTACTTAAAATCTCGAAATCCTTGAATCCAAGCTTAAGCCTCATCCCCTGTTTTCCAAAATTAACACTAGATATGCTCAGTCCAGCTCTATGCCTTGCTCAAGTTTCATTTGAAGTCCTTTTTGTTGTAGGAAAGTTTGTTTCAAGGTTGTACACGAGAGGTAAGCCTTTTATTCTATCATCTCTCTACTTTTAGTTTAGTTTCAGATTGCTTAAAATTCTAAAATCATGGAAAACTTGCATTCCCAACTTCTTTTAGATTGAGAGAAAGAGGTAGAGAGGCAAGGGTCTTAGGGAAACCAATACCTAAGACCCGATAACATCACCTCAAATCAATTATAGGCAAAGTTGGGAACATTTTCGCTAGGTTTCAGGAGTTTTGAACAATCATGTTAATTCGTGCTTCACTAGAAATTGAGCCTGAACAACTCACGTATTGGGCTACTATAGTAGCTTTGAGAGAGGGGTGCATAATACCTTCCCCCTCCCAATCCTTGGGACCCAAAATCTCTCGGTTGTGTGCCTTTTCCATAGAGTACGGAGTCGCTATCAAAGACTTAAATCGAGTTTTATAAATCTAAAAATGAGGGTTCATTTCCTCTAAAAAATAGGTGGCAACTCCATCTCTTTGAGCCGGCCATGAGCTTCCTAGAGCTCACAAGCATCTAAGATAGGCTTCTGTAGGGAGAGTCCATGGTCCTTTTTAGCAGGTGCTACTAGATAGATATCCACCGAACCCCTAGTCTTGTCACTATCACTAGTCAATAGTGATACTTTAATATTATATAAGTTTATCCTTTTACACTAGAGTGTACAGGATTCTAAAACTTTTCTTCATTATGAGGCTATTTCATAGGAAGTGTTTGTCTGGGTTAAGTAACAACTCTTTTATTGAGTTGCATGGATTGTTTAAAGTGGTGCTCCTAGATGGTACTCAAGTACCAAGTTCATTCTATGAAACTAAAAAGATCATAGAAAACCTAGGACTTAGGTAGGAAAAGATATGCATATCCAAATGATTATATGCTGTTTTGGAATGAACATGCTAATAATGGTATTTGTTCCGTATGTGGTGCTTCAAGATGGAAACCAATGACAACCATGAGAACAATACTAATGGGGCATTTGGTACAAAGAAGAGAAAGATTATTGTGAAGGTCTTCTGCCATTTACCTTTAAAATGAAAGTTGTAGTGTATTTTCATGTCAAATCACGCTTCATCTCTTATGACTTGGCATGAAAATCAATAGATAAGGATGGTTTTATGAGATACCTTGCTGGCTTTCCTACTAGGAGGACTTTGATGCTAAGTAACCAAACTTCTCTACCGAATATTGAAATGTTGGACTTTGTTTGGTAAGTCATGGTATTTATCTGTTCAACACACTTAATGTCATGTACAATACATGGCTCGTGGTTTTGATTGCATATAATTTTCCCCATGAATTTGTATGAAACAAACCTATATTCTTTGTCATTGATTATTTTTGGTTCAAATGCTCTTGAAAATGATATAGATGTTTTACTCACAAGTCCTTATCATTGAACTCAAGGAATTATAGGAGGATGGTCTGGAAACATATGATGCATCTACCAAACAGAACTTTTAACTTCATGCTACTTATTTAGGGACAATAAATGACTTTTCTGCATGTGGTAATTTATCAGGTTGGACTACCAAAGGGAGGTTTTCTTGTCCATTGTGTAATAATGAAACTTGCTCTCATTAGTTGATTTGCCACATTGGTTTTTCCCATTTTACTTTTTTATTTGTTTTATAATTATTGAAATGTTTAATTTTTCTATATGTTTAACTTATAAAAATGCATATTTTGTGCATTAAATCATTAAATAATCATTCATACTTGAGGCTTACACCTTTTCATGCCTCAAGCTACGCTTTGTGCCTTGAGGCTTGAGGCTTACACCTCATTCTGACAAAGTCTTAAGCCTTAAATTAAAGTTGTGAGGCTTAAGCTTTGAGGCAAAATTTGTGTGACTCGCCTTAAGGTGTATGCCTCATGCCTCAAGGTTTAAGCCTTTTAAAATAATGTTATCTATATGTATATGTATATATATATATATAAGGATTTTTAAAATAATAGTTATTTTTATCAAAATAATAGTTATTTTTATTGATGTTGGAAATAAAATGTAAAATTTAAAACTAACCCAAAAATGAAATTATTTTTTAGGGAGTAGTTCAACAATTCAACCTTTTGGGTCATAAGTGTCAACCATTGATCTCATAAGTAAAGAATAAAATTTAGAAAAAGGATAAAAATACAAAAAAGATGAAAAATAAAGAATATCCTTCGAAAACAGTTGAGCAAATCTCTAACATTCTAGATTAAATTTAAAATTAAACACGATAAACAGGAATTGTTTTTATTGATGTTGGAAATCAAAAAATTCAAAACTAATCCAAAAGTGAAATTATTTTCATGTTTTTTGGTAGATCAATAATTCAACCTTTCAAGAAAATATGTCAACCCATGATGTCAGAATTAAATAATAAAAATTTAAAAAATAAAATAAAAAATATAAATTATGTAGACAACATTTGGGCATATCTCTAATATTTTATGTTAACCATATTAAATAAAAACAAGTGTGAAAAAGAGAATTGTTTTTTTTTATAATGGAAATTAAAAAAATACAAATTTAAAACTGACCAAAAATAGAGTTTTTTTTTTCTATTTGGTAGTGAATCAACAATTCAATTTTGTGGGTCAAATAATAAAAATTAAAAAATAAGAACACACAAAATATAAAAAAAACAAAAATTTTGTAAAAAACATTTAAGCACATCTCTAATATGGTATATTCATTATATTAAACAGAAATAAATGTGAACAATAAGAATAATTTTTGTGTACATATAAATATAAAATAAATTGTAAAACAAATTGAAAACATATTATTTACCATCATCATTATTATTAAAAATTGCCACCATTTTAGAGACGTGCCTAAATTGAAAACATTATTATCAAAAATTGCTATCATCACTATAATCAAAAGTATAAAATAAATTGTTCAAATGGACGTTAAGGTCATAACTGCCCTTTTCCACTTCTATCTGGTGGAAGGTCAATTAAGTAAATTGGTTGTAAGCTATAGGGTGTGTTTCAGTAAATGATCCCAAAAGTTTCCCTTAACTTTCTATTTCTCTCTTATTTTCTATGAAACAAAACACAATCTCAGGCTCTGTTTGAAAAGAGTGCAAATACAAATATATACAGTGCAAAATACAAAAGCATCGTACATATTTGTATTTGTACTCTTGCCAAACTAAGGCTCAGTTTGGATGGAGTACAAATACAAATATGTAGAGTGAAAAACCTTATATTTTGTATATATTTTCATTGTACATATTTGTATTTGCACTCTTTCCAAACTGCAAACCGAGCCTAAGGCTGCGTTTTGTTGAAGTACAATTTTATTTGCACTAGTACAAAGAAAAAATGTTAATTCTCATTTAATTTTGTTTTGTGTTTTACTTTATTCTGTTTCATGTGTTAATTTACTTCATTTGTAGTGCAATCAAACAAAATAAGCTCAAATTTAAAACAAAAATAGGTCAGAATTTACACTCAAATCATTTGCATTGTCATAATTTTGCATCAGTACAAATTTATTTGTAATGCATCCAAACACAGCCTAAGGGACTTGGTGGGGACCAAAACAGGAGAGTCAGTAATTGCAATTAGATGGTCCCATCTCGTCGGCGCTGCATTATACCATGTCATCAAATGAATTGCTGACCTTGCGCCACAAGATGGAAGATAGGAAAATTGTTGCATCAATACATAACCTACTCATCAAGATTTTTAGCTCTGATCTTCCATACATTCTCTCTCTTCTATCAATCCTCGATCATATAGTTCTCCTGGGGCTTACATAGAACCAACCACTTTCATAAATTGTGTTTTAGATTTTTCAATCATTTTTTATTGACTGAATTAATGTTTCTTAGGCCATGTTTGGGAGTGTTTAAAAATAAGTGCTTGTTCAAAATAAGTGCTTATTTGGGCCATTAAGCATTTATTGGTATTTGGGAAATAAGCCCAAAATAAGTGCTTATTTTTTAAGCCCAAATTTCTAGTTTTTTTAAGTGCTTATACGAGAAGCACTTATTCAATCTTTTTCTTCCAAAATTATCCCTAGTTGAATTTTAAAATACCACTTATAAAATTATCCCTAGTTGAATTTTATAAAAATACTTTTTATAAAAGCACTTCTACAAAAGCACTTTTATAAAAGTACTTCTACAAAAGCACTTTTATAAAAGTACTTTTATGAAATTACTTTTATAAAAGTACTTTTATGAAATTACTTTTATAAAAGAACTTTTACAAAATTACTTTTACAAAAGCACTTTTAAGAAAGTACTTTTATGAAAGAACTTTTAAGAAAGTACTTTTATGAAAGTACTTTTATGAAAGCACTTTTATGAAAGTATTTTTACAAAAGCACTTTCGTGAAAGCACTTTTGTGAAAGTACTTTTGTGAAAGCACTTTATAAAAGTACTTTTTTAAAAGTGCTTTCGTAAGGATACTTTCTTAAAAGTGCTTTCATAAAATTACTTTTATAAAAATACTTTCAAAGGGTATATTTTGGAAATTTAAAAGAAAATGAAATGACAAAATAGTCACAAATGCTTATTTAAGTGCTTATTAGAGAAAAAGACTACTAAACACCCAATATAAAATAAGTGTTTATTTTAAAAAAATAAGCACTTGAAAAAGTTGGATGCCAAATGCAAATAAATGATTATTCTAATAAGTACTTGCTTTTAAGCACTTATTTTTAACTTAAGCACTCCCAAACATGGCCTTAATGCTTTCTATAAAGATAAAGCATACTTAATTGGGTACAAAAATGAGACTGAAAAAATTCTTGATTAATGTCACTAGGAAATTGAACAAGCGGTTCTGATGGAAAGAAGATCACCCACCAAGGAAGCAATTAAAACACTCTTGTGCGTTCATTAGTCATCCCAATTCCCAAACTTGTCAACAAGTTAGAACACAGGTAGCTAAGTAATGCAATAAGGCCTATACATAATGCAATTTATCATCCCTGTAAAAGTTTATAGTGATTATCAACTAGCGTGAATGTGTGATGGACTCAAAGCTTAAGGTAGAAGGTTTTAGGCTTCTTGTCAGAAAGGTAAGATGTCTAAAAGGTTGCTTCTTTACCCAAAAAAGGATTACTGACCTTAGAGGAAAATTAATCAATAAAGAATCAATTAAAGAAGATACTAAACCAGGATGCTAAGGAACTGAGAAGAACAAGCTTATTGATGAAAAGATACAAATATTGGTTTGGTGAAAAGCAGAAAGATGCCAAACTCAAGCCCCAGAAAAATCTAAGGTATCAGATCCAAGCCTATATGCCTACACTAAAATCCCATTTTTGTCAGACCACTAATCACCACAGTTCATCAGAATCATCCAACCGAAACATGGCAGAACAGCCCAGCAGGAAGAAATTACGCTTCAGGTTATCATCAGCAAACAAAGCATCAGCTCCTCCCCAACCTCCAGTTCAGCCACCATTGCCAACCCCTAGGCCTCCACCAAGGTCTGAGTCTCAATCCCCATCACCATCTCACTTAGCCCCTCCATCTAAGGCCCCATCACCATCTTACACAACCCGCCCACGGATAGGCTCGCAGCCCCAATCACCATCTCGCACCCTCTCTAAACCATTGACCAGAACATCCTCACAAAACCCATCTCCATCTACAACAAGGCAATCCCTTCCTTCACAACCTCAATCTCCATCAACATATCAGACCTCTCAGGCAAAAACCCCTCCTAAACCAAAATCAGGGTCTTCAGTGGTTACTTCTACACTTACTCAGCCTCCAAGATCAGAAAAGATGGAAGGAGAGAAGCATAAACCAATACCAGAGACAAGGAAACAAGAGAAGCTGAAAGGCTTGGCTACTAGTCATCAGGAGCCAGCAGAACGCACAATCACTGAAGTTCGTCGCAATAAGGCATCAGGATCAATGACAAAGATGAAGGAGCAATCAGGTATAGCATCTCAAACAGAACACATGCAACTTAACAAGCAAATATTTCTGGATGGAAAGAAGACAACAGTGACAGGCTCCAAAGGAAGGGAGAGCAAAGAACAACTCCCCCCAAGTTTTACAGTATCTCACCATGAACAACAACCCCCCTTGGACAAAGAAATCAAGGGATTGGAAGTGGGGAATCCCAAGGAGCCCATAGATGAGAACAAAGTGGCTGTCATAACCCTGGCTGGTGAAAATAGAGGAGCAGCCATGCACATAGGTACTGAGTCAGCTAAAAGAGAAGAGTCAATTCATATACACAGGAGCTACAAGCTTAATCAGGAAGGCCACCAAGTGGAAGGAACCACCGAGGATGAGGGAAGTGCTGAAGCAAGCAATTTGGATGATTCAAAGACAGAAGGCAGATCACCTGCAATGTTCATTAACAGCAATACACAGAGCATCAACAATTCACTTCTTTTGGACAGTTGCTTCAGTGAAAGGAGCCCAGGAGCTCACTTAGTTGTCTCTCAGAAAGCAATGGATGCTATCAACTTGAATACAGGAGCAGCACATTTGGAGGAAGACAAGGCCAATTTGAACACAGCTCCTCAGCCTGTGGTTAGAAGAAGGTGCCTAAGGGCTCTTTTCATGGAGTCCAGTGATTCTGATCCAGATAACCCAAACAAGCCCAGGCGGCATGGTTGTCGTTATAACTGTGGGGAAAGTAAAGTTGGCAAGGAAAATGGACAAAGTTCTTTGACCAAGTAGTGAGTCACAAGCTAGCCTACAACTTCTAGTCTCCATCTGGAATATATAGGTACGAAGTTCATTCATAATAAAAACAGGAATCTTTAGACTCAAGATATTTATTGGTGTTCAGTTGTATCCTGTTTAGAAAAGAAGGCTAAAAAAAGGTCCATTTATATGTGTAATGTCATTTTTACTAAGGCTGCATTTGGATGTCAAGTAAATCAAGAATCGATGTAAATTTTATATTGGTTCAATTTTGTATGCGTTTGAAAAGAGGGTGTAATTATTATCAACGTAAAACTATTCTCTTGTTTAGTTTTGTTTGTGTTTGAATGGAGTAGTTTTGTGTGTGTTTGAATGGAGTGTAGTTTTACATCAACTCTAAAGTTTTACATCGATAATCGATGTAAAAACTACATCAATTTTATTGATGTAAAACTTTACACTCTTCCACCCATCATTATTTTCAAAAAAGCAACGGTCATTTTCTGATTCAGTGTAAAACATCACCAATGTATTTTTACACTGATTCCAAACACAGCCAAAAGCAATTAAATCCAATAAGCAAAGTCTTAAATGATACAACCAACAGTTTCCAAAATAGGAACCACTGAATTATGTAAAATAGGTTGGTTTATGTAAAATAGGAACCACTGAATTATGCAAAATAAAAAAAAAAAAACGAAATAACATGATACAAATGAAACTACAAATTCTCGAGCAACTCAATTTATAACCAAAGCTCGCAAATATTTAAAAGATTTAAGCCATTAGGTTGTAAGCCAATCCTTATATATTAATGTATGATTGCAAATTATAGGATATAATACATTGTTGGTTCCCACAGTTGTGTTCCATCCTTGTTTGATTTGTGCATAATCTCAAGATTTGATAATGCAAGAAGCCATGTGTTAGGGTTGTAGTAGAAGTCAATGTTTTATTTATGAACTCGGTATTTGAATTTTATTTACTTTAGGAAATTAATTAGGTTTAACTTTACACAATTAAAAATGAAAATACATATTATTAAAAATGTGTTTTCTTTCAAAATAATGTAAAAAGTTTAAGTTTGATTCAGAAAGAAAATCCTAATTATTTCTCAAGTCAAAAAATTAATAAAAAAATATGTTCTATATACCCTTTACCAATTCTAGGTAAAGCTTCTATTAATCATACCAATCCGCAATTAGATGGAGAGCGGAGAGATAGTGGAGGATAAATGGAGCAAAGTATTGGGGTGGTCTTTTGGATGTGACTCAAGGCCATTGTTTTGGATGTGAGTCATGTTTAACTTTTTGAAAGAAGAAAACGTTGAATTGGCTGGACAACCACTGACCTGAAAGGTTGAACTATTAAACTATTCAATTCAGGCAACGCTTTGCAGTTTAATAAAAAAATATTTAATTTTTTTAAGAAAGATTATTAATAGAAAAAAGAAGAGATTAAGAGATGGGAGAGGGATTGAGACAAGATCTCAGATTTGAGATCACCGAGATCAAAGAGAGAGAGAGAGACTAGATCTCAAATCAGAGAAAGATAGAAGCGGAAATGGCTGGGGAGAAACATTGGTGATGTTTGGTATGGTTTATGTTTATTCAGTAAACGTTTATTGATGGTGCCACATAAGTGTCATCTTAGCATTTTCTCTCTCTTTTTCTTCTGCATATATTGAAAATGTAAAAAGTGAACTTTGGTTTACGTGCATGCCAGCTGTTGGTAGAAGTTACTTTTTGAAGCTTCCACAAACGGCCAGGCGTTTATTCACTATTACGCCGAAATGGCACCTAGTGGCACCCAGTTGTTATAAACGGTTGTAATTATTGCATTTCTCGGTTTTACCAGCAAATAAAGTAGAAACGTTTATTCAATAAACATAAATGGGACCAAACACATACATTGTCACCACCTTGGCCATTGCTATCACCATCATTGGTGAACATCACCTCCTCTTCCTTCATTTATTTCTTTATTTACTTTTTTCCTTTCCTTTTTTTCTTTCCTTTCTTTCTTGTTTTCTCAACCAACAGCTATCTACCTCTATCTTTTCTCATAAAAGAATACACACACACACACACATATATATATGTATGTATGTATGTATGTATGTATGTATGTATGTATGTATGTATGTATGTATGTGTGCGTGTGTGTATGTATTCGAGTTGGATGGTCAAACTGATGACCCAAAAACCGTAGTCATCAAAGTGGTCATGTTCCTAGGTTGGTTTTTAAAACCTTGATCAAGGCAAGCATTAGAATATCGAATTATCAAAGGAAACCTGTTTTCGAAACCACAAATTGGAGAAGACATTTCTTGTTTAAGTTTTGAAAATAAAAATTACATTACAGCACCAAAAATATGTTTTCTATATCTGTTTCGAGAGTACATGCCTTTTCAAAAATAGGTTTGGGGTTTTTGGAACTCATCACAATTAGGAAAATCAATCCTAGGTCTTTGCTAGAACCAGATAGAGATTTTAACAAGAAGCTAGATAGCTTGGAATGAGTGTGATCTACTACCCACAAGACAYTTTAGTTGCACATCTAGAACATCTCAGCTGTCATTCATGGGGAGATGTTCATGTATGATTGTAATGTCTTGTGGGTATGTGTGGGTAGTGTCTTTATGAATAGCAGAACTGAGCTTGTATGTGATGATCCTATGCTAATGTTTGTTTCATTTCTTTCAGCAGTATGACAAAATTATAATGATTTATTAATTAATGTTTAAAGATTAGTTCAAACAGTATGATCATTATTTAAATAATAATATTCATCTTAAATTCTGATATGCATTCTACTTTATTATTGTAAAATCCAAAACGTATAGACAAGCTACTGAGTTTAGAAAACTTTAGTATTTTGTTATTGCCATATCTTTCTAATAAGCCTAATTTGGGTCACATTGCTGCTATATGGATCATTATTATGACAATTAACTTCATTTGAATATATAACTTTGATGACAAACCCTTAGAAATTGAAAATAAATCAACTGCTATAAGTGTTGTGTGTTGCTAACCATGGCCCAAACCGTTTCATTATCTGGACATTAATGCCTCATGGGAAGTTCTCAACCTCTTTCAGCTTGCAAATTGATTGTAGCCGACCATCCCCAAATCTCTATAGTTTGTAGCTTTTGAAGATTATAGTTGGAGGCAATTTTATGAAAGTGTATTAATAATTGTGTAACAGTCAAAGTAGATAGAGCGAGTCAAAAAACATGTGCAGATTGATAGCACCTATAGCATTTGCAATCATGGCGAGGAAACTTCTTGCACTTTCTTTTTCAATGCCCAATTGTTCAGCACATTTTGGTTTTGGCTTTCCATTAAACTTGAGAGTCATACTCACTCAGATTGGAATCCCTTATCAAAAGATTCCATCTTGATGGTTGCTCATTGTACTGTAATTATATGGAATGCAAGATGCAAGGTGGTAATGGAGCTGTGTCTTTTACTCATGCTGGTGCAGGTGTGGTAATTCGAGAACATAGGGGGAGCTTTATCAGGGCCAGATCCTTAAATACATCTTTATGCTCTCCAACTTAGAATGTGAGGCACAGTTGAAGTTGAATTTCGAGGGAGATGCTAAGGTTGTTATAAACTCTTTGTTGGAGGTGACTACTTATGTTCTTTAGTTATGTGGGTGTCTATGGATAGGGCGTTTATTTATAGTTTTTCATTTTAAACATTTTCTGTTTTTGTTGTTTGGTTGAATTTTACTTTAAACGTTTTTTAATTTTCATCTCAGATTAATACCTATTAAAGTGTGTCACATCAGCATTTTGTTTCAATAAACACAGGGGCATTGGGGGAAAGAAGAATTTGGCGTTTCCCCAAATGCCTCATGCACACAAAAATCAAAATGTTTCAGTTTTCTACCATTTATTTGATAAATAGTGAAACCAAACAATTGTTTCATTTTGTTTCATCTGTAATAAATGCCAACGCTTATATAGTGTTGATATGGCGGCATTTTTTCAATAAATGCCAACAAAACCCAACATCCCCTATTTTACCTTCTCGACGGATCAATACTACTCTTGCTAATTGCAAAGAAACACATGTTATCTCAGTTCTCACACTATTCAGTGCCTTTTGTGCATAGGGCATACAATAGGGTGGCTCATAAGTTGGCCAAGCAAGATTTGTCATTATCTCGACCTTCTAACCACTCTTGGACCCAGGCTTGGTTATAGCTAGGTTGGGGGTTGGGCTGGGCATGGGTAGGTAATCTGGTCCATTAACCCCAATTTGTATGAGGGTTGGGCTACGTTAGCGGGTTGTTGACTAAGTAAATTGTTGTTTGTAATATGGTAGTAAAGAGGTGGTCACAAGGAGCTGAGATCTACTCACAACAAAAACTATTCCAACAAGCTTTTCATATGATTTGTCTACATAGATCACCACAAGACAGGAATCCACTACGTATACAGATCATGTTGGAACAGTTTTTTGTTTTGAGTAGATTTGGACTTGATCCGAAGTTAAATTATTACATGGAAAATTTTGTGCATTTAATTAACATAAAATATGGAGAAAAATTATACTAGGAATTTGTAATAAAGAAAAATACAAGGAATTTGTAATAAAGAAAAATACAAGGAATTTGAATTTTCTTTTGATTCTACTTGATCGATGGCATAAGCAACCTCCGATTAACAATCAAATTCGGTAAAGATGAGGGTCATTGGTGTGTTTTATCGTATTTCTTAAAATGTTGATGTAAGTTTCTTCGACTTTGGTGCTTTTTGAAAGAAAAATTGATGTAGATTTCTTCACTCTAAGCTTTGCGCTTGATCAGTTATAATAATGCTTTTCTAAGAAAGACCTTTTGTAGTAGCTTGATCTTCTTGGGAGAGTTTAAATGTAAATGCGAAGTAGAGGACTAAGAAGCTTCTTTCCTTCATTCTTCTCTGTTAATGTTGAAGTAGAGTTAAGACTTATAAGAGCTTGTGATTGCTTGCAATTTTCAAGTATTGGTGTGAGTGAGTAAGCTTTTGTAAATGTGATCAAGGAAAAGAGACCACTTCAGCCCACATTATTAATCAATCCCATGTAAATGGAGTGTAGGGTTAGGGTAAATTCCCAAGCATGCTCCATTATGTGCGAATAAATAGTCTTGCCACTGGGGACCACCTAATTATAATAAAACATGGGTCTAATTGGATTTGGTACATTTGGATTATTAAGCCATGGGTCATATTTATGTAGATTTGGGCCTTGGCCCATGGAAGCCCATATTAACTTAAACATGGGTCATATTCAGTCCACTTATTTGAATTAAAAAACCACATGTCTAACAGGCAGGTTAGAGGTAAATCAAAGAGTCAACAATCCAAACAGCGCCAAACGGATCAATGATGGATTGAAAATACTGGTTTTTTATGTGGATTAATTGAATTTAATAGCTGTGTTTTGGGCTGTGGGACCGATCATAATGCCTCACTCCAACCATCAGTCATGGGCCATATTCATTTTATGGCTGGCGTGGGGCATTACGATTGGTCTCACAGCCCGAAATACGGCGACGAGTTCAGCTAATATCTTCATGTCTTTTTGGGTTACACTTGGATGTTGAATATTTTGTATGATAAAAAAAAGAAAAAGAAAAAACAAAAGAATGGAAGTTAGCTCAGGGCCACCTAAAAGCTTCTTTATGTATAGTCCAGTTGTTCATTAACCCATTCCCTAATCTATGCAAATCCAGCTTTACCGAGGTAGTTATTGGAACGCACTCCCATGCAGTAGGTCTACTTGAGGGTCGGGGGATAAAGAAATGACTTCGACACTGAAATTCCATGCATGAGTATCGCACCCAATTATTTCCTTTGGCATTTTGATTTTTAGTTCCATAAAGCATATAATATTGGGAGAATGACCGATAACTCCAGTGTCAAAATTTATAGTTTTAATGCACGGATAGTATCAGTTTGGAATTGATGTTAATTCACATGCGGGTATGGATATATAGAATATAGGTATCGGTCCATTTGAATGTTTATATTCTTACAGTATAAATTAGAAATCTGCATTGGRCAAATCTATACTTTCCATATAATATTTAAGTAGATTCTGATCGAATGACATTAAATAAATTGAGTCATGAAACAGGATTCATGTARCTGGCCTAAATAAGGCTGTAGGGTGCTGTTTGAGAGATTTAGTGGAATGGTGGATTACCGTTATGTCTTTAGAAAGAGGAATATGACTACAGATTGGTTTGTTAATCATGCGCATTCTAATAAAGTCTGCAATACTTTTATTCTTAATTAGGGGTTTAATTGCTATTTGCTATGTTGATTTTTGGGAACATACTACCCCCGTTCTGTGTAAAACCTTCTGGTTCTATAAAAAAATAGGCTTGGATGATAATGGTTATGATTAAATTGATATAAATTCATCTTTTAAATTTTATTTTTTATTTATACCGTGGCCCTTCAGCTTAATTAAGCCCACATAGTGTCTGTTGTTATTGTGTCTATTTTCTATATTAAGCAGCTAAATGCAATAGCTATTCAGCAGGCTATCACATTCAGCTAATTYCATTTATATTAAGCAACGTTTTAGAAATTGGATTAGAGATTGGCCTGGTTTTATTTGCATGTGATGGGTCACTGATTCAACCATCTAAATGGGTCACAAGCCACAAACTAAATATATAATTATTCTTGTTTGAAAAGGTAATATATTGCAAGTAGATGAAGTCAAGGTTCAAAGTATTGATACGTATTGTATCGGGAGTTTATCGATAGTCCCTACAGAGGGTGTATCGGGATTTTGACCGGTTCAAATGGTGGACGGACCTTAAACCAGCCCATCTAAACYGAATTTGAAAAAAAAAAAACTAAAAATAAAACTACCGATACTGTTCGATACGCCTCTACCGGCATATTAAATTTATCGATATTTTGAACCTTGGATGAAGTAGGATCTATAAAGAATACTATTAAACCAGGGTGGGCCTTGATGCAACAGTTGGGTTGCTCCATTGCGACCTGGTTGACCAGGGTTCAGACTCTCTCTATGTGCAGGGGTAAGGTCACGTGCATCTGTCCTTAATCAGAATTATATTTGGCAGGAGTCTGCTGCATTGGACTGGCTGCCCTTTTAAAAAATCCTATTAAATAGAACAAAATTGCATGCAGGATTCATGTTACTAATCCCATATAATTGGGATAAAGCTTAGATGATGATGATAGTATTTAAATTGATTAACATCTCAACTTCATCCAAGGCTCTGTTCGGGAAGAGTACAAAGCAAATATGTATGGTGCAAATAAATATAATAACAAAATTTCTTAACATTTTGGAGCAAATAAATATTTTGTGGCAGCTCTTGTGTTATGACAGTGTTTAGGGGTTTTAACCGTTCAGTCCACTCCTAGGGTGGAGTTAAGATTTTTAGGGGTGGACTGAATCCTGGCCGTGGATTGATGTCAAATTCATGGGTAGGATGTGGTTTATAAAGGGGGCTAATAGTAGATTAGGTGGCTGTAAATTCAGATTTCTGAGAGGGGGTACAGTCTAATTATCCCTAGTGTTTGTTCAAAGAACAAAATAATTATATACAAGCTAAATATTAACATCATCATTATTTTCTGTTTTAAATTCTAAATAGATGGAGGGTAAAATCTATAATGCATTTGTTGTACAATAGTTGGTTGAAACTGATGATAAAGATGCGTTGTTAAATGTGAATCAATGAAAAGTAGACTTGATTGACATATGGATTTAATGTGCAACCAATATTAATAAATGCATCATAAATGAACTCTAGATTTAGAGGTATAATTCCAACTAATTGAATGTGGCCAAGATACATTTAAGGAGGAACTTGATAGGACAGGTGATAGTTAGCATTGTCTCCTGGCCCAACAAGATTTGGACTAGGGTTAATTTAGACTGTTTTTGGTTTGAAAGAAAAGATGTTTCCCTGCCTTTCCCTTCCTTCCCCCACCTTTTCTTTCAAACCAAACAGATTTTGGGGATCATTATATCGATTTAGCATATGAATGGACATATGGGCTTGACATATTTGTAGATTTTGGGGATCATTTGATTTAGGGTATGAATGGGCATTTGGGCTTGACATATTTGCAGACAAGGTTATTGAAACGTTCTGGGTTGAGAGGATGTTTATACCTCTAAAGGGGAAAATATATGATGCAGAAAAAGATATGATATGGAATGAGTTTTGACCAATCAAAACCCTTCCATGAATTTTTGATAAATAAGGTATTATTTGCTACCATGTTTGTGATTTCAGTTTATTAGTCAGTCATTTTTCTCATATCATATCTTTTCTATATCATAGTCGAAGTGCCGAACCCTACCTAAAAACACGAGACCACATCGGCGCCCCACATGCACATCTTAGCATGTATTGAAAATATCTCCCGTATTTGTTCATTGAGAGATGTTTTCGATACACAGTTGGGATGCGCTGTGGACACAGGACGCCGAGGTGAACTCTAAAAACACATCTCGGCAAAAATATCAATTCTATATTTCTTGAAACACCCCTTATTTTTCTATCTCCCCCCCACTTTTCCACTTAACACCTTGGGCC